TGCACTGAATTTTAGAGTAATCAAATAGCCATAATTGATGTGGGAAAACTCTTTCTCTCCTCTCTCTCTCTGTTTTTCTTTAGAGATGGGGGTCTCAGCCAGGCTAGTCTCAAACTCCTGGGCTGGAGCGCTCCTCCTGCCTCAGCCTCCCAAATAGCTGGGACTATAGGTGCACACCACCACACCCGGCAAGGGAAAACTCTACAAAGGCATCCTAGCTGATAAATCTGGCAAGAATGTTCACATTAGAAAGTCACCACTTGCAATCCTTTGTGTGATAATTGATTCAAACAAGGACCATCAATAGATGAAACCATTAGGTTTAGGTGGAAGTTTGATGAGGAAATTTACAGGAGGGGGTCAAGCTTTTCCCTCATAGATCCTCTGATCAATCTTAGCATCACTAAAAGAGACAATTACCATGTGTCACCTGGATAACGCAGTCAGTATAAAGTACACAGCAGCACATATGAAACAATGCTTGTCCTCAAGGAGCTGACCTCGAATCTAGTCAAACCTCTAGAGGTAACAAGTTAAATAACAGGATAAATGACCGCCTTTTACAGCAAATCAAAATCATAAAAAAAGGGCAGAGGGATTGCCGTGTGTATGTGTGGGTTATGGTATATTTTAGACTTAAGAAGCAGAGTGAGCACCTTATATGGAAAAAATAAAACTACAGACTTAGTTTGGTGGCATCTAAAAACTCTGGCTCTTTACTGAAAACAAAGAACCATTGTTAATTTTTTGAAGTATAATATGGTTATGTAGAAAAATATCGTCTTTTTAGAGAGTAATATTGAAGTATATGGGCACGAAGGGACATGGTGTCTGGGGTTTGCTTTAAAATACTTAGAAAAATAGGTTAAAAGGGGAAAAGAAGGGAGAGAGCTGAAATGGCAAAATCTTGATAATTGTTGAGTGTGGTAATTGGTGTGGAGATTTCCTATACTATTGTCTCTACTTTTGCACATTTTGGAAAACTTTATATGGTAGGGAAGTGTTATTACCATGACACAGGAGGTTAAGTCTATTATCATTTTCAGCAAAAGTTTCAGAGATGTGAGAGGTAAATGTACTCAGAAACTCTTATTCCCATGCACTAGGTTTATAGTATTGATTATTTCCTTTAGGCAACAATAATTAAAGTTCCCACCCAATAAGACCAATGGGCTGGTGGGCAAGACACATTTTTATTGAAAGTTCCAAATTCAACTAACCAATCAATTTAGCACATTCAGACACACAATGTAACAGAGAGAAACAGTTGGCTACTTTGTGTCCCAAACTACCTGGTAATACTTCCCATATACTCTTGGGAATCTTGGATTTGCAAAGCCCACACAACCAGGAAATTCCTGTTTCTCAAACTGCAGGGTACCCTTTGCTCTCCGGTGGAGATTTGTAGCAGAGAAAAAACAACCCACTTAAGAGCATCAGGAAGGCAGCTATACTTGCCACTAAAGCGGCATTCCCGCTTTCCTGGGTATCTGGCCTGAAAGGCACTTGGAAAGATGGCGGGAAGGCAATCCCCTGTAAATTTTTGATAGAGTAGTAATTCTGGAGCACGGCAAGTGTGATACAGAGAGCAGCAATTAAATTCAGCATCCCCGAAAGAAGGAATGGATTGTAGGCGTTGTCCTTCTGAGGCATTCCCATGTATACATTCCTAAGTGCAAAGATACTGAAGAGTCTCCCCAGGAGCCCTAGAATGCTGGCAATCAGCAGGAGGTGTTGAGCACTACGAATCTCAAACGGGAGAAAGTCATCATCGTAGGTGTACAGATGACAAACTTTGGCTATGCTGGTGTTGGTGTCATGATGGTAGATGCAGACTCTCCACATTCCCACACAGGCAACACCAGTGGGGAAGAACGTGGGGTCCTCCATGTGCCACACTCGCCACTCCACAAGGCCCATGGAAGTTGTACAGAGGATCCATCCTAGGATGCCGATAGTGAAACCAGACACTTGGTGATTGGGGCCATTGATGAGCAGAGTCATGGTGGCAGCGTGCCCAGGGTAACTGCAACGACACAAGACATGGTGAGGTTGGGCCCCTTGGGTCTGGGACAGCACCCCCATGGGTGAGCAGTACCAGCAGGGAATTCCTATATTTGAGAAAGGAGATAGTTGACCCTGCTGCTTTGCAGGCAGGAGTATAGCCTTTCGCAAGCCTTCAGAAGGGCCATTTGGCAGTACTTACCAAAGCCTTAAAATGCACAGACCTTCAAACAGGCTGTTTCACTTCTGGGCATTGGCCCAAGGATATAATTAAGACTGGCCAGAAATATTTAGCCACAAAGATGGTCATCACAGCACTGTTTGTAATATTCAAAAATGGGAAACAACATCAAGTCCAAAAGTAAGGCTCAGTTTGATAATTTATGCTATATCAATGCAGTGGAGCTATATGCCCAACATTAAAAATGTAAGTGAAATCATACAGTATGTAATATTTTGTGGTTAGCTCTTTTCACTTGGCACGTTTTCAAAGTTGATGCATGTTATAACATGTATGAGAAGTTTGTCCCATTTCGTTGCTGAATTGTATTCCGCTATATAGATAGATATACCACAGTTTGTTTATCTATTCACCAGTTTTTTTGATGTTTCAGTTGGTTCCATGGAATGGTTATTACAAATAATGCTGCGATGAACATTTGTATATAAAACTTTGTGTGGATATATGCTCCTGTTTCTCTTGTGGAATACCTAGGGGTGGAGTTGGTGCTTCACATGGTAAGTGTGTATTTTTTCAAAATTGCTAAACTGTTTCCCCAGTGGCTACACTATCTTACATGGCCATTAGCAGTGTATGAAGGCTCCAGTTTCTTCTCCAACATTTGTTATTTTTAGTCTTTTTGACAATAACCATTCTAGATAACATTATATGTTACCAAAACGAAGGTGTTCACAGTATATCAAGTATCAACAGCATGTTACAAAATAGGATGCACAATACATCACAGATACGAGTTGAATTGGAAGGCTGTATGCTGAATTACTAAGAGAAATTTCCAACTGTGTTCGAGGGATTATAACTTTTTAAAGCTATTTGTATTGTGAAGAATCACATACATATAGGAAAGTGTAGAAGGTCTACGTGAACAGCTCAATGAATTATGACGGGGCAAACACCCATGTAGCCACTACTTAGTTTAAGGTATGCAGTATTTCACTTCCTGAATCTAAAATGCAGGTAACAAAACCATAAGTATATACAGTAATATGATCTGATTTTTGCTAATAACATGTGCTGGGAAGATACAAAACAAGATACATCTGAATACTGGGATTACTAATGATTTTTCTTTTTCTGTTTTCAGGTTAAAGACTATTACTTTTTTACTTGGAAAAAAGGGTGGCGCATACAGAGATACAAGCAGAGAAATGTACTTGTTAGTGACTATCAAGAGCAATAAAAACATGGGTGTCTTCCAACCCAATCTCCCACCTCTTGGAATCAATTCTAGGGGACAAATCAGACAGTGTGATCCAAGCGCCTGGGCAGTGATGATCACAAGCAGTGTGATTGATACTAGGGGTAAGAGAAATCGGAGACCAGTAATATGTGGATCAATATGGATGCTTAAGTAAATTTCCTAATTGCACGAGACAGAACATATTTTCAACCATTTACAATGAATTCTTCAAAAACATTGTAATGACAGGAAATCTTCACTGTATGTTCAGAGGGGAAATGGGTGCAAAAGAATGTATAACATGTATGTCATTATGTTCTGAAGTGTATGTGTGTGTGTGTGTGTGTCTGTAAGTGTCTGACCCCAATTTTCTTTTTAAAAGACAACTACGTACATATGCATAAAAGTTTGTAAGGCAGTACTTTGGAATGTCATTTCTGGGTGGGAAAATACTCATTTTCGGCTAGGTATGGTGGCATGCCCAGAGAGAGCATTGGCCCCAGTTATGGCTTTCCTGAATGCCCTGTAGTTTGCTCATCCCTGCCTCTTCCCCTCCTCAAGTGAAAGCTTCCTTCTGGTCTCTGTTATCATTGTTTTTATCTCTCCAGCTTGCCTTTCAGGTACTCCACTCCTAATCTCTGTCACCCCAAGCCAGAAGAATAACCCACCAGGTGAGAAACCCAGGCCAATATAGACATTTATGGACTGACTGACCTAGATGAGGGGTCCTCATAGTCCAAAGCCTTGTATTTCCGGGTGCCCCAAAACCCTCCAGTTGAAGGTTCTATTTCCAGCTACATCCTATCTGCTCTCATGCCATTGAGGCTGACTTTGGTAGGCCAGCCACTTGCAAGGTTTTAACATCTCAACCTAGAATTTTCATTTGAAAGGTGAGAACAATCTTGATTTTTACCTTTTTTTAAAAAGCAAGTACTTTTAGACTGACAAAAAAATTGCAAAATAATACTGAGAATTCTTCTATACCCTAATCCAGCTACTCCTCATGTTATGATCTTACATAACCATGGTACTATTAGCAAAACCTGGAAGCTCTTATTTCAATTGCACCATTTTCCCCATTAATACCCTTCCTTTCTCTGGTCAAGAAACCAGTCCAGGATCTCACATTGTTTTTTTGCTCTGTCATCCAGGCTAGAATGCAGTGGTGTGATCATAGCTCACAGCAACCACAAACTCATGGGTTCAAGCGATCCTCCTGCCTCAGCATCCTGAGTAGCTGGGACTACAGGCGTGTGCCACCCCACCCAGGTGATCTTTCAATCTTTTGTTAGACGGGGTCTCCCTCTTGCTCAAGCTGGTCTTGAACTCTTGACCTCAAGCGATCCTCCCAACGTGGCCTCCCTGAGTGCTGGGATTAGAGGCATGAGCCACCTTACCTGGCCCCCACGTTGTTATTAGTTGTTATATCTCCTTAGTCTCCTACAATCTATGACGGTTCCTCAGTATTTCATTGTCTTTCATCACCTTGACACTTACAAAGAATACTAGCAGATGTTTTTTAAAAGGTCCATCAATTTTGACTTGGTAGATGTTGTTGCATGACTGAAAAGAGGTTATGAATTTTGGTATCAAAATGCTACTATGAAATGATACTGTGGGAGGGGGGACATGGGCAATATACGTAATCTTAACATTTGTACCCCCATAATATGCTGAAATAAAAATAAAAAAATAAAGGCCAGCCTAAACTTAAGAAAAAAAAAAGAAAGAAAGAAATAATACTGTGTCTTCCCAGTGCATCATACCAAGGGGCTCATGAAGCCTATATGTCTTCTTACTGTGATGTTGACCTTGATCTCTTAGTTAAGGGAATACCTGCTGATTTCTCCAGAGTAAAGTTATCTTTCTTTTTACTTGATCATTCTCTTGTATTTCATACATATTAAGGGGGAATTACTTGGAAACTATACAAATTCTTTGTCCTCCACCTTTCCCCCACTGATTTTAGCATCCATCAGTGGATCCTGCCTGTAACAACTGTTACTGTGGTATTCTAATTGTGATTTTGTGTCTCTTTTTTCTTCTATACTTATTGGTTGGAATTTCTTTGTAAGGAAGAGTTGTCAGTTCTCCCCCATTTACTTATTTATTCAAGTACTGAGATCAGCATGGCGATTCATTTTGTTTTGTGGATAAAATTCAATACTACGATTACCTATTTTGTTTCTTTCTTAATTCTTTTGGAGACAGAGTCTCACTCTGGTGCCCAGGCTAGAGTGCCATGGCATCAGCCTAGCTCACAGCAACCTCAAACTCCTCAGCTTAAGCGATCCTCTTGCCTCAGCCTCCCGAGTAGCTTGGACTACTGGCATGCGCCACCATGCCTGGCTAATAACAAATTTGTATGCTTTTGCTCCTGTTCATCTGTTGTATGTTTGATAGACTCAAATTATCAAAACTTTGGGTGACAGTAGGAAAATTCCCTTCACCCTTACCGAGAAGTGCACTGCATTTAGCGTTCTGCAGATCACTTTTATGTTAGGCTTAATAGAAGGTACCAAGAGTCACATCTACTTCTGCATTTGATCTTTTGACATCAAATGACACAGAGCCTCCAGAAAAGTCCACTGCACCCTCATGAGAGAAGGAGAGTGAAAAAGGCCCAAACGTAATATTGTGAAAATCATTTTAACCTTGTGGACCCCATCCACACATTACCCACCAAAAAAGAGTCTTGGAGACACTTGGGGGTCTGCAGATCACACTTTGAGACCCAATCTTCTATGGGATTCATGTTTGTCTACAGCATTTCATGCCGCAAACAACCCTTCCAAGTGGGCAGTACTCTTATCCCCATCTTAGAGTTGAAAGGACTGAGGCCAGAGAGGTTAAGTAACTTGTCTCAAGTCACACAGCAAGCGGGTGGTGGAGCCAGACAGCCGGTCACACACTCCATCCTCTCAGCACAGCATTTGTGGGTGAGGCGGGAGCAAGTGCGGTTAAGGCCTGTGGAGGAGTCAATCAGCAAGGGAAGGGCCCCGTCCTCTGAGCTGAGGGAGGAGGGCAAGCTAGGGTACGGATTCGGGACCCTGGCACACCTGGTGCCTTTCCCAAAACACTGAGTCACACGCTCAGGGGATGTGGACGCGGCACAGATATTCTCACAGCTCCCTGGGTGGTGCCCACATGCAACTAGGTGGACAAGCCACCGAGGCGAGCAAAGCTATTCTGAGAGGTGGGGGATGGGGAGACCATCAGCCCAGGTGGCCTCTGTTGGATTGAGAGGCGCTCCCCACTGCAGCAGGGAACAGACTAGAACAAAAAGCTGTCAGGGACAATGGATGCAATCAGGAATCTAAGTGATATTCTAAATATATAACCTCAAAGCCATTAGGGTGGCTACTATTTAACAAACACCCCAGAAAGTGACGAGTGTGGTGAGGAAGTGCTGAGCTGAACCCCGCACATTGCTGCTGGGACTGCAACCTGGCACGGCCGATGGGGAAAACAACATGGCAGTTCCCAAAAAACTAAAAACAAAATGACCACCGGATCTGACATCTCAGCGTCTGGGTATACACGCAAAAGAAGTGAAAGCAGGGACTCAAAGAGATACTCACAGCAGCGTCCTTCACAAGAGCCAAAGGGCCGGCGCTAACCCAAATGG